ATTGCAGGCCCCCAAAACCGCGTAATTATCAATATCCTGTAATCGGCAATGACAGCATGGCGGACACACAAATATTAAGATGGGAGAAACGCTAGGATCATGAAATGTTTGTAGTAATATGTCGTAGAAAATTACGCGGTCCTGGGCAAGGTAGCTTTCTTGCAAAACTTAAAACAATATCATTGCTTTCACCCTTGCAAAAGTTTTTTTTTGACGTAAATACGTCTATATTTTCGGCTGTGTCATTCGGCAAAAAGTGTAACTGCATTGTTATGTTACCTTGGAAACGTCATCTGTTTACTCGGCATTGTTGTTACCTATAAAACATTACATTACCTTACCTAACCTTACATTACTTTACTTTACTTTACATTACTTTACTTTACATTACATTACATTACCTTACATTACCTTACATTACCTTACCTTACATTACATTACATTACTTTACATTACATTCAGCTACCACAGACCCATCTTAAGCGTAACTAATTGAAGTTGAATAAGCAATGTCTTAATCAAACTTATCTCAATTGTAAAGCATGTATAAAGGAAATATTTAGAATAAAGCCAATATATAAACTTCCTTTCCGTATAGACGTATTTACGTCAAATTCTCCGGAACCGTGGTTCCACTGACAATTTTTTGCATAGCAATGAAAATGCTGTGTCAGTTTTTAAGAAGATATCAGTGACCATTTATACATAATTTTGAAAATAAGCATCCGTCAGTGAATGTTGGCAGAACTGGAGGGTGGAGGCTGTGTACCACATCACATGTTGGCCAGCAGTCGTATATGAGGCTTTGGGCTCCGTCTTTCCCTTGATGTGACACTTCATGCCTAACTTTCCGATGATTATGTTACAATTTGTCCATAAATAAATATAATTCAATATATTTATGATATTTTTTGTTTATTTCCTTTGCCTTTCCACGGTCGCGTTCCCGTACCCACGTTAATCCCGTGAAATATGATGTTGGGACAAGTCGGGTTCACGAAAAATATCCCTTGCGCTGGACGAGGGTTTGTTGTTCTTTTGTTTTTCTTCGAGTTAAGTTGGTCTTCCGATAATGGAGATGGAGAAACGACATCGCTGTGACTGGCAATTGGCGGACTCTTTTTTTGTTATGTGCAACAACACGGAGAGAACAATATGACTATTTACTTCATTTTGGTTTACAGTTGCGAGATCACGACCACGTGTGTGCTGTGTATTGCTGATTGCATGGAAAAAGGGGTGGTAAACAGTGTGCCCGGGGCAAGACGGGGTATGGCTGATATGTTTGAAAAAGTTGTAAGAAGACACAGATTATGTAATAATTATGACGTAGAATATAAAAATTATAAAGTGTACAATGTAAGTTCTAAAAAATAGGCTCCAAAAATGTCGAAACTTTACACATTTTAAATCTGCTTGAGCCTAACGCAGACGGCACACATGTCCACCTCTTCATCATCGTGACTACCAACACCTGCACATGAGTTATGGGCCCATTTCAAGCAAGACGAACACCGGATCCACCCTTCAATAGACTGCGAATAGACATCGCCACAATACAGGATACGCAATTCTACCCTGCCCCATCGTGCTCCGAGTATACTTTTTTAGGTTAGGATTGTCCCACCAAAAATGACATCATGAAAATAAATAGAAATATATTGTGTTTAAAACTTTCAAGAGAACACCTTGTAACATGCATCATTTAACAAGGTGGATATGAATAATGAATAGGTCTTACCTTCACTCGAATTTGAGAAAAAATTGTAAAATGTAGGACCAAAATCCAGCATGGGTGATTATTTCAGAAACTGTAACCACAAAATGGCGCTGACTGACATGACATGACCCTGTGCTGTATGCCATGGTATTTCACCCGGTCCCGATAGATCGCAACGCATTGCAGAGGAAATAAAGCCGATACCCCGTTCTGCCCCCCGCCTCCCCTATTTATTATCGTTATATTCATTGGCACTTCGTAGGTCAAGACAAGTTGGTGAGACTTGAGGTTCTCATGTCGACAAGTAATACTGCGTTTTGCTTCTTTTGTTCTTTCGTAATTCTCTTTTGTGTTCGTTGCTGAATAAATATTTACTCTCATTTAAACTGTGTTATTTCCCATTGCGTCAAAAGGAATGGACTGTGCTTGTTGCAAGTTTTTGGCCAGTGTTTGTGAGTCAAAGACAAGCTTATTTTGTACATGTTACCGGAAATTTTTCAAAATCTAATGTGTTGTGTTATGTATGCCACATTGTTCGTTGTTTATAAGCCAACAGTTACAAATATTGCGGCGGTGCGAAACTTTAAGGTTATGTCTGACATATTTAGAAAGTTTGTATACATGTAAGTAATATATTCTTTCTCAGATACAATGATAATAGTAATATTCTGTAACATATGTACAATTGCAAGCAATAATAAACCAAATGTAGCCCAAAGGTGTTCGATTGTGTGACCATCTGCGGATCATAACTACAGTAAATGTCATTGCCAGGTTGAAAACTTACGAGCCATTCCCCATGGCTCCTGTTTGACGATCAGTTTGACTTCACTCTACGCGGAGTTATGGTTTTTGGGCGGCCAGTGCGTGTAGCTGTCGTCCCAGGAGTCTTAAGCCAGCCATTCACGATCGCTCCATTCGTCCAAATGGCGCGGTGTCGCTCCAAAATTGTACTGTGAATGCGGAAACTCAAGTCCATTGGCGTGGCGCGGTGGGCTCGTCTGGATATTCTGTCGAGCCATAATCCATCCCATCGCTCCATCACTCCATCGCGCCATCGTATCGTGAGTGGCGGAAACGTGGTCCATTCTCATGCCAGTCTGCCACGAGCCTTCGTCCAGTCAAGTCGAAAGTTGCATAATGTCGGGGCGTGATTTCGTTATTGATAAATATAGAGAGTTGCCATGTATTTTACAAATAAGTTAAAATATATTATGAGACATGTTTCGCCTCTTAAGTGGCATCATCAGTCATGTGATTCACGAACTAATTGAAACTAATTAAATGTAAAAAAATAATTACATTTAGAAACTAATTAAATTTTAACAAATATAGTAATAATCCTGACCTTACCTTAAGGTATCCTTTCAAACACTGCAGTATTGCCCTGCAAGTCTCGGGGATAATTACTCCTAAACGTTGTGGAGAAGTAGCTGTCACATACTTCAGTTCTTCATAGTTCATGCCTGAAGCCAAAAATCTCAAAGTCGCTGACAATCTTTCATGAGGACTGATGCATTGTCTCATATTCGTGTCCTGTTTTTGTATCACAGGCGTGACTAGCCCCAATAAGCGGAAATAAGCACACTCATCCATTCGTAAATAGTTTCTCCAGTCTGACGGCTCCAAACTCAGTTCACTAATTAAATTGACGTGACTTAAATTGCTTCTGTTTAAGAGCCATTGCTTTGACCACTTTCGTTTTGGTTTCCTCCTTTTAATATACAGGCATACTGCCGTAGCTAGTAACAATTCTTCGTCCATCGCAAACACCACGCACTTCACAGAGTGACAACAAACCGCGACTGGCGTGACGCGACCGTGAATGTAGTACCTCTTTGGACGACATCCGTTTGGACGTCATCCATTCGGATGTCATCCATCTGGAGCGATCGTGAATAGACAATAGATTCAAGTCATCGTTTTACTTCCGAGCGGTTCCAGCAGTTTTACTTTGATCTGGTTATCAGGCGTGCCACCACTACACCGGAGTCGTCATATGCCGGGGTTTTTTTTACACCCTGGAGAGATTGCTTATTTAAGTGATTCTGACATCGGGGGACGAAGGACTGATATACTTGCAGTTGGCTTGTGACACCGCCAAGCACGAATCCACACAAGCGACTTCCTTTGGTATGATGTTCTACTTCCGTGCGGGTTCACCCTTTCTACACAAGTGGGGCATTAACGAATTCTTACCCGAATCATCAGAATTTGTTTCAGAGTCACCAGTGTATGGCCCAGAACTGCAATGAAGGAATGATTCCTCAAGCCGTTGAAGTTGGAGACATGGTGTTCTTCAAAAATTGCGCCTTCGGGGATCCTTTGCTCAAAATTCCAACGAAGCTCTGTCCGCCCTTCCCTTCCGCTTACAATCTGTTCTTACGCCTTACGATGTGGTTGCTCGATCCCTCTATAAGCAAGATCGCCAACCGAATCAATCATTCTCATCTGAAACTTCCTGTTGTTAATTGAGAGAATGAGTGAGTAATGTTACCGGGTTCTCCCTGTTTGCTTTTATTTTTTATGTATACTGTGCATTGTTGTAGGTTAATTATGTTTTAATATAACTAACTAACTAGATGGCTTACCGAACCTGAAGGTTCATCACCGAATTAACCAAAGTCCCCCACCGGACCCTGTCCTGGGCCAACAAAATCCAGTCTCCTTCAACTTCTATCTCCCATAGATCCCGCCTGAGATTATCCTCCCATCTACGTCTAGGTCTCCCCAGCGGTCTCTTCCCCTCAGG